GATGTTCCAATAAACCTTTAAGAGGAAGAAGAGACAACCAGACATTTTTAAATCCCTGTATTTTGACTATAAATTATTAGCATTGGCTAGAAATAAGACCATGAGCTTGTAACATTTGATGAAAGATGTAGAAAACATAATTAAATGATTGCTTACTCACATTTACGTTAATACATGTAGGTAATGTTTGTCAAGCCAAGTTTGACAGAGCATTTTAACACTCTTTGTTTTTTTGAAAAATTCAGGTTCCAACTTTGGGTTCTCAAGAAGGAGCTTTTGAAAATGTAAGGATGACATTCAGTGGAGAACAAGGACAAACTATCAGACAGCTGATTGGTGCACATGTCCTGAGGCGCGTTGCCATGTGTTGTTTGGCATCGCCAAAGGGAAGAAGGCAGCATCTGGCAGTTAGCCATGAAAAGGGCAAGGTAGTTATCTGACAAAGTAGTTACCTGTGTCGGCGCTTTTTGAATGATTTTTGTGAATCCAAAACTCAGATCATTTCAATAGCCAATTAGAACAAACATATGTACATTTATGTCATACAAGGGGTTAATAACAAATCAGAGTAAGTAACCCTCCTCTCCCTAAATGTGTTGATTAAACTTAAAGGTACTCGCAAGTCATCTACTGTGCATGTTCAGCAAGCCAGCTGGCTGAAGTAATTTTTTTTGCAAAAACTTAAAATATAAATCTCTGCCTCAACCCTTTTGAGCTCTATTTTTTTCCCATACGCTATACATTTGTAAAGCTTATTGATTTTGTGCATGAGATGTTAGGTATATTCATGGTTATTTTTGTCTCCCAGATTACAGTTCTTCAATTATCAGCACTCCTAAAGCAAGCTGATTCCAGCAAGAGGAAACTAACACTGACACGCCTTGCAACAGCTCAGGTGCCCTTTACAGTCCTCACTATCTCAGGGAACCCTTGCAATGAAGACTTTCTGGCAGTTTGTGGATTAAAGGATTGTCATGTGCTGACATTCAGCAGTTCTGGATCTGTAGTAGATCACCTTGCTCTTCATCCTCAACTGGAGACTGGGAATTTCATCATCAAAGCTGTCTGGCTTCCTGGATCACAAACAAAACTAGCTCTAGTCACTGCTGACTTTGTTAAGTTAATATTTCATTCAAATTGTCTTCGTTGACGATGTCCTCTGGTGTAAAACTTCAAAGGTGTGTTTGCGTTGTATTTTATGGAACAAAGTTTTAGCACAATTGGGCTCGTACGGCTAAACAGCTTCTTTCAAGCGTGTGTAAGACTTACCACAACACTCCTAACTGGTGTCTCTTTTTTTATTTCACTGTAGATCTACGATCTGTCCCAAGATGCACTAAGCCCCTTGTACTACTTCCTTCTACCAAGTGGAAAGATCAGAGATGTCAGCTTCATTTTTAATGATTCCGACCACAGTTTGATTCTAATGTCATCGGGAGGACAGTTGTATCTTCAGCCTATGGATGAAACCAGCAGTGCAATCAATGGTCCTTTCTATCTAACGAATACACTACCCATCGAACATTCTGATTTACAAGATTCCAATGGCCAAGTTGCCGGTGGAGGAGTGTCAGTGTTTTACTCTCACATCTTACAACTGCTGTTTTTCAGTTACAGTCAAGGTAATGTGTGCACTTGACGGATAAAATAGCAGCTGTATCGATTATCCATCGTAAA